GAAGGTGATTTGAATTCATCTCTTCCAAGAAATTGACAAAACTTTGCTGACATGAGTGAAGGTGCTGGGATACGGTTGGGCTGGGTTGCTGAGGAAGTACGTGGTTGAGCCGGCTCACATGTGGTGGCCCGGCACCTTGGTTCAGGTCTCACTTTTCCGGTATGTGACACGGACACACTTTAATTTTTTATATGTTTCTAACTTCTGAGTTCGTTCAGGATAGATGATATTATTGATATCAAAAAAAATTATGGACGGTATTACTGGGAGCTGTCATGGCCACGAAATGCTTTGTTAATGTCACCAAATTGAAAAGGTTTAATTTTGTCAACAAGAGTGTGGTTAAGGTGAAGTCAATTAAAAATTTTGATTTAAAATTAAAGTTGCATTAAATACTTAACCTTTTAATATTTATTAAAAAAAAAAAAGAGAAATGGTTTTAGATGTGGGGAGAATTTTACCATTTTTTTCTTCACAAATAACAAACGACGTCTTGCAAAAAATTGTCTTTTTCCTCTCTCAAATCTCACAAATTTTCTTCCCAGCAGCATCACAAAATTATAAATAACGAAAACAAGATTTCTTCAGATTGAGTATAAGAAAATTGAGCTGACTTTAAAAGATTTCCGTTTGAATTCCACTTTTTGTAATTCACAAAGTGATAACTGACTAGTGGGAGGACGGAACCGGGTCCATGCACGTTTAGAAGCTATTCTCATCAATTGTTAAAATTGTGTGTTAAACTCTAAGATTTTGGATACAAACAAAATTATAAAAGTTTAGTAGAAATAGTACTTATTAATTAAAAAATTTTTAATTTTGGAATTGAGATTAGGAAATAAAATTTCTGTTATACTAAACAATTAATTTTTTTATGTATAAAGAAAAAACTCTAGGATTGAACAATATTTTTCTGTTTTTAATTATCCCAAAGAATTATGGTAAACGAAAAGGAAAAAGAAAAATAAATTAAAGAAAAAGAAAAAGAAAAAGAAAAAGAGAGTTCACAAAAGATTCCCAAAATTGAGTTGAAGTTTGAATGGATTTTCTTGGGTGACATAATGTTGGTCTGTCCTACGCAAGAAGCAATTAGGGTATGATAGTTGCATTTTTCACCATTAATTAATTACTTAATTAAAGATCTAATGAATAAAGTCCACTTAAGGCCCAAAAAGTCCACCTCTTTGTTTATTCTTTCTTCAATTATTGTCCTTGTTTGGTGCCAAGAAACCAATTGGATTTTGGATATCATCCCGAGGGGTAGGCAAAAAAAGAAAAAAGAAAAAAGAAATGATCAATTAATCTCTAAACAATTTAGAAATTGAGAACACTTGAATCCTCTAAAAATACTCCTTTACATCATGTTTAAGACCCAATTAAAAATAAGTCATAGGCCACCTCTTTTTTTCAGTTTTAAACAACCCCTTTTCATGAGGAAGCCCTAAAATTCTCCCTTCTTGCAAAATTGCTCATCCCACTTCCCGTTCAATTTTCGCATGTTCTGTTGCCTTGTTATTATTGTTTTTTTAAAAATACTACATATAATGTAAAAATATACTTACATATAAATTTTATATATTATATTTATATAAAATTTTAATTATTTATCTCTTAATTTTTAATAATTAAAGTTTATTTATATTTATTAAAAATAATTATATTTTTCACTTAAAATGTTATGATAAATGTAATATGTAAAATATATATAAGTGAATTCCTCATCGTACACATATAATATTATCATATTTTATAATAAAATCCCATAATCTCTACATAATAATAATTATGAAAACTATATGAAATTATTTTTTTATATGAAACACATACATAAGCATAAAGTCTATAAATTATTCAGTACTTAATTAGCAAAAACATACGTGCACTTCATAAATTTCTTATTCGCGGCAAGTCTTAATATATGTGGTCGTCGTGGGATATGCTGATTATATCATTGTGAGAGTACCATTTGATGTAGATTAGATTAATGGGTTTATCCAAAGTGACAAGGTCTATGCACGAGTGTTTGTCAATATGCATTAATCAATTCATTACACAGGTTGAGCTGTCCCTTTTAGGGCAAACAACAGTTAGAAAACCATAAAAATCTCTGTCAAGTCTAAAATGGGACATTATGGGCCGAGAGAAATTCTCGGCTCTGCTTTGAAACTTGACTCGTTGACTACCGATCCAGCCATTTGTGTTGTTTTGAAATCAAACCATCTTGTTGTTCAAAGGCTTGGTATAAGTAAGAGGGTGGTAGATTAGTCAACAAAAAATTTGATTCTTGTATAAGTTAACAAACAAGTAATCTCTTACAAATTTTTTAATTTTAACATGAATTATCTGCGTTTAATCAATCTTAAGAATGTCTAAGAGGCATGCAATAAACCAAACATGATTTCGATTCTTTGAGGACCATCAATAATATGACTTGAGTTAGTAGGATCCGATTCTTTGACAACAATAATTCTCTTGATAAAGTATAATCTACTTATGATAAAATAATGACAGTGATTACCTTATAATGTTGATGCAAGGATGCAACAAAAGGAAAGCCTAAACCATATGCTTATCTATGTTAATAATTAATATGATTATGCATGCCTATATGCGGGTGCTCATGCATTCAAAGATCACATCACACATGCAACTAATAATCATTTTCCAAAAAGGAGAGAGACAATTTCCTTCTTGTGTCTATTCCCAGAACTTCATCAAGAATATTAATTTCTAATTCTACCTTGTATACGATTGTGCCTATGGGCCTCAGTAGTTGGCTTGTTCCTGCTTGTATAACATGTCTAAACCATTTTCTGTCTCAATTTTATTTTGAAAGTTTGAATCATCTATAAACTTAACAAAAATGTGTTGCTGCTAATTAAATGAGGTCTCTCTATAGATCCAACCATTAAGCTAATGCAGAGTTCTGTCTATCTAAACCAAAATTCATGGGAATTTTCAATCATAATTTTGCAGGGCTTTGCATGAGAAGGAAGAAAGAGAGAAGAAACAGATGACCAGAGCAAAGTTCTTTCTTATTGTCTTAGTTTGCAGTTTTTCATGGTACTTGCTCCCAGGGTACCTCTTCACAACGCTAACAAGCATCTCATGGGTTTGCTGGGTTTTCTCCAAGTCTGTCACAGCCCAACAACTTGGTTCAGGCTTGCGAGGACTTGGACTTGGTGCTTTGACACTAGACTGGAGTGCAGTGTCATCCTTCTTGTTTAGTCCGCTCATTAGCCCTTTCTTTGCCATTGTCAATGTTTTTGTGGGCTATGTGCTGATAGTGTACATTGTAACTCCTATAGCTTACTGGGGTGTTCACTTGTTCAGTGCAAGAAGGTTTCCCATATTTTCCTCACACTTGTTTACAGCTCAAGGTCAACTGTATGACATATTAGCCATCGTTAATAACAATTTCGAGCTAGATAAAGTGAAGTATGAGGAGGAAGGACGAATTCATTTGAGCGTGTTTTTTGCTCTCACCTACGGGTTTGGTTTTGCCACCATTGCCTCTACGATTACGCACGTTGGTCTCTTTTATGGAAGGTACTATCTAATTATAGACTCACCCTTAGATGCTTCTACTTATGAGATTATATCTCTTAATTTTAGGAATCTGAATCTAGTAAGCATATTTAACGTTGGAAATCCAAAATTCATTTATATTTGCTACTTTTATGAGACATATTTCATATTCAGCATTATTGTAACTTCCTTTTAGAATTATAGCAAGAATGTTCTTCAATTCTATTTTTAAGAGAAATCTTTAAAGATTAAATGTTATCCTATTATCAACATTTTCTTCTTCAGCATACTATAAGTGCCAAGAAAATTACATGAACTATAAAGAATGGAGTATGTAAAAGCAACTTCTTTTTTAAAGTTCAAATACAACAATGACTGTGATTAACAGGGAGATATATCAGCGCTATCGTGCTTCTTACCAAGGCAAGGAGGATATCCATACAAAATTGATGAGAAAATACAAGGACATAC